GAATCCCATCCTGGACATGTATCTTTGGCTGACTCTATTCTCCAATGCCAGTGATTATAAATATATACAATATCTTACATATATATATATATATATATTTATAGTAATACTTTAGGACTTAGGCTGAGTATGTGGGGCCTGGATGCATAGAGAGGCAGCTTGTAGAGTGATGTAGAGAACAGGCTGTCAGGCTGGCATGTCAGGGTTTAATCCCAGGGGTACTATTCACTTTCTCTGTGTCCTTGGACAAGTATCTCAACCACTCTGTGCCTCAGGTTCCTTTTACATAAATTGCAGATTAAAATAGTAACTACTTAAGGATGTTGTTATTATGAATAAACTCAGGATGATGTCAAGTATACGTTGTGTACTAGCTAAAATTACTCTTTCTTATTGTCATATTATATTTCATTAGCCACTCTTATTTATTGTCAGAAGCCATTCCCTCACAATTCCTTACAGAAAAACATGGCTTTATTCTCACTATACTTAGTTCAGTGTGTCACCTGCAGTTTCCTGTATTACAGTTATTTGCCCAAGGTGGTTAAATCAGAATTGAAATATGCTATGCTTGTGTATCACAGATATTTAATTGCAGACCAGTCAGTACCATCTACATTTTCAAGTTTCACCCTCATGCATGATTGAATTTTTGTGTATAGTTCTGGGCACATTGTAAAACTCAGTATGTACTATTTCACTCCGGTTTACAGTAATTATTGAAGTCGGAAACTGTATCATATTCATTGTTGTAACCTTACCTAGAAAGGAAGAGCTAGAAGGACCTGGATCTTGTCTTTCTTGGTCCTGCTTTAATTCTTCCATTCAAATTGTCAAGAAAAAGAAATGTACAATAGAGTCAAAGAAAAAAAAAACACTTATACTAACCGGAATTTTGGCAACAAGTGTCAATTTGAAAAAAATCTAGTAAATTAGCCCTTTGCTCTTAGAACAAACACACCTAGATTTACTGCACCAATGTGCAAAAAGAATGCCTGCCTGTATCAGAGAAAATGGAGCCGGAGAGACAGAGAAGCTTATCTGATGCACAGGTCAAGTCTGCTGATGCATCCTGGTCCAGTCATGGCTAGTGACCGTACAGGGAAAGGCACAGAGCTCAGAGTTGCCCGGGGCTGCGTCTAGCTCTTGTTTTCCAGGTAGAGAGAAAGTAATTATTTGACCATCAGGTTTGTTAACTATAATCAGTTCTGAATCCCTCAGTGTGTCCTCAAACATTGTTATGGGTGTTTTTCACTTTCCTTTCCAAATGCCTCCAGCCTATACCCTCTGCTCCACATTCTAGGAAACCAACCTGTATGGATTGGATCAAACGCTCTCTTGTTCTATGGTTTCTAGTTAGGTTTGCCAGTGAGGAGACTAGCAGAAGATCAGAGGGAAAAAGGGAAATTATGTCACCAAGGTATTTATTCCACAGGTTCCCTCCAAAAGGATTGCCACAGGTTGTCAGTGTCCTTCAACTGAAGGTCACAGTGCCTGTCATAGGCCCTTCTGCCCACAGCTATTTCTTTTTTGCTCCCTGCAACTACTGCCTCCCCTCTGGTTCTTTGGACCCAGCTCCTGCTTCTGGAATTTCTTTCAGGATTCTGGAAGATGCTTGGAGGCTTTTCTAGCTTTTCCCATGCTTTTATAAAGTGCCCTTTTATTAAACCCTACTCAAATCACACAATTAAACTATCCTGTTATTCTCCTTGTGGGAGCATGACTGAAAAACACATAGAAAGTACTGAGTTAAGACACATTTTATTGCCTTCCTTCCTCACCCTTGAGAAGACAAAGTAAGGGAAGGTAGGAGGGATTATGCATGCAGTACAAATGGTTCAATTCTTTTATAACATGCCTTAAACTCATTGTAAATACAGAATTTACAAACAAAAGACTTGAGCTTGATGTGTGTCATGTTGCCTGGGCCATCCGAACTCTGGCCCACAGTTTCTCCTTTGCCAAATAGAATGCTTAGTATTGGCCTCTCATGTGGCATAGGCTTTGCTGCTGGTCACCTTCGATCATTAATTTAAAATTTTGCGTAGGAAAACAATATGCTAATATTAATTATTAAGATTAATGCAAAGTAAGTTTTTCACCGTTTCAAAAATTTTATGAGAGTAAACTTTTAAAAAGACAAGTCATAATGAAGAATTGAAATTTTAGCTCAACAATTTAAAGGTTAAAGGCTAAAAAAATTAAAAATCTAAATCTTAATATGAATATAAACAGTTCTTAATAGCATACTTGAATCAATATTCAGAGATCTTATTTATGGTAAATGTTGAGTGTGTCATTACTATGGTTACCTGTCGTAGTACTATCATAAAGAAGCTTTCCTCTTTTATTCAGATTATAGAATTTTTAACAAATTTCTGTGACTATTTGAAATGTAAATTTTAATAATTGAAATGCACATCCTGAAATCCAGAGAAAAGCACGTGAGTAATGTGCAAAGTGAATTAAATATTTATTCCAATGAAATTATTCAGAAAAAGCTGCTTGGATTTTAATACTGTGAAAAATGTTAAAAGCAAGATTTTTATATTGACACAAACAACTTTAATGAGGAAACACACTTTATGCTGTCTCAAGACGGAAAATATTAACATTACTTTAACATTTGCATTAATCACTTTTCTTTTACTTAAAAGCATCTTGTGTCAATCTTTTCTCTAGATTGATCTACTTTATCTACTTCAGACAACATTGACATAATTATGAAGCATGTATTTTCATTAATAAAACAGATTTACAGTAAGATTTTTACAGATTCAAAAAAGAGAACATATCTTTGATTAATGTCTCTTTGAGAGGATTTTAGATGATAAAGTACAGTGCAGAGCATTATTTTTTAAAAATTAAGAAAATGTATTTTAAAAAAAAATGTAGTGTCTTTTTAAAATGGCACAATAAAGTTATGCCAGAACAGGAGTTGGTGAATTTTTTTTGTAAAGTGCCAGATAAATATGTAATGTGGCTTTATGGGCCGTTTGATTTCCGTTTCCCTACTCTTCTCTGCCAGTATAGTACAAAGGCAGTCATATTCAGTATGTAAACAAAGTGGTTTGACTATGTGCCAGTAATCATTGCTGTGGCCATGGTGTGCCACCCCTTTTTCTAAAAAGTCAGTACCGGCATAGCTCATTTTATTGTGCTTCCCTTTATTGTGCTTGGCAGATACTGTGTTTTTTACAAATTGACGGTTTGGGGCAACTTATGCCAAATAAGTTTATTGTCACCATTTTTCCAACAGCACTTGCTCACTTCTTGTTTCTGTATGACATGTTGGTCATTTTCACAATATTTCAAACCTTTTCATTATTCTTATATTTGTTATGGTGATCTGTGATTCGTGATCTTTGATGTTACTATTGTAATTATTTTCGGGCACCACAAACCATGCCCATATAAGACAGCAAACTTTGTTGTTGAAATGACAAGAAAGGATTAGGAATATTCTATGAGCTTAGTTGATAAAGCAGAGGCTGGGTTTGAGAGGGTTAACTTCAATTTTGAAAGAAGTTCTACTGTGGGTAAAATGCTATCAAACAGCATTCCGTGCAAGGGAGAAATTGTTCTTGTAAAGAAGAGTCAATTGAAGTGGCAAACTTTGTGGTTGTCTTACTTTAAGAAATGCCACAGCCACACAAGCCTTCAGCAGTCACCACCCTGATCAGTCAGCACCATCAATGTGGAGGCATGACTCTCCACGAGCCAAAAGATTATGACTTGCTGCAGGCCCAGATGGTTAGCATTTTTTCAGTCATAATGTAGATTTTTAATTAAGGTGCATACTTCTAAAGAAATAACACTATAGTGTACTTAACAGACTACAGCATCTGTAAACATAACTTTTACATGTACTGGGAAACCAAAAATCTTGTGTGATTTGCTGTATTGTGATATTCACTGTATTCTGGTGCTCTAGAATTGAACCTGCGATATTTCTGAAGCATGCCTGGTAGTCTGTGTTATATTTGATTGTTTATCAGGAGTAATTTTTCAGAACACTTGTAGTACTTGTTTAAAATGTTTCAGCTGAAATTAAGTCCACATTGTAAATAACAAGTAAGGAGATAACAAAGATTATGTTCTGACAGAATACTGTAAGGTTTCTGTGCTTTAAACAGAAATGAGTAGGTTGCTTTTTGGGTCTAATCATCTCTTATGAGAAGAAAATTTGTTCTTGTGTTGGAATATGAACAATCACATTGTCATCAGAGTAGTTCTGTGTAATTGAAAGAGAAGTGTCTGTACAGCTAGAGGTACCTATCTTTAATTTCAGGTATGTGAACTTGGAGAATGTATTTAATAGACTGAACCTCAGTTTTTCCATCTGTTAGTTAGAGCTCTTTACTTTGAAGAATACGTTATTAATATATGACACATTTAAAGTTCCAGACACATGACAGGTGCTCAAGAAACAATAAATCTCCCTTCATCTTCTTCAGTTATTTATAAAAGCAGCACTGGGCCTGAAGGAAGAACCACAATTTTTTTTCAAAGTACTATATTTTAGTGGCAGAGAAGGGAAAAGTAGGAGGGTGAGGCAGAAGATAACCTCTTTCCTGATTTTCTGGCATTTTTTTCCTTCCCTGTTTCTTCAAATGAAATAATACATTTTCATAACACAGGGTGTTTGGAAAGACCCAGGTATTAATCCTAGCTGATGTATACTGTGCGCATGGATTCACTTGTGGAATACTATCTGGCAGTTCCAACTAGGATGAAATCACAGGTTATTAGAACAATCCAGAAATTCATAGTCTTTGCAGTGAAAATCATGCATAAACATTAATTATCTTTGCCTATCCTTTTATAATGTAACTCATTTTCAGGACTCTCTACCAAAGAGAAACTCTTAAATTTATTTTCTTAAATGAAAAAAAAATGTGAGATAACACTGATCAGAAATTAACTTCAATGCTAAAATCATGATTACATACTCAAACAATAAAGGGACATATCTGTATGAAAACTATAAAAAAGACACATTTTAAGAGAATGTAATTCTTTATTTCATAACAAGTTACTGCATTTATTTTGCACTTAGAATCATTAATGTACAGAAGACTGATAAATTGAGATACCTTTGCCACACTCACAAAATACTCCCCAAAATGGTGAGGCAGAAGCAAATGACAGAAGCCATTACAATCACAAGCCATAAGACTTTACTGTACGAAGTGACTACATACACTTAATGGACACAAATAACTTATTACAGTGGTTTATCAAGATCCAAACAACTTCCATTTAGGTCAACCATATCTTAAAAGTCCTTTATTTAGCCCTTTTTGGCTTAACTGAATCACAGTTATCACAGACTCAACCATTCTGAGGCTCATAGATTCCAAGTACATTTCACTGTTCAACAATAAAATTAATCTGTTCTGAGAAATATATTTCAGAAATTGTTTGAGAATCAGACATCAACTTCCTGGATTTGTCTGGTCACATAGCAGCCTAATTCTGTTCACAGTTCCCCCCTTTTCTCTCTTTGTTCAAATACATTTTTTTTCTTAGTTAGAAAGAAAAAAGCAAATTATTTGAAGACAAAGCCCTTTTAGTGGGGAACAGACTTTTACAAAAATAATAACAATCTGGACAGACCTGCCTTATGGTTCTGCTTCAGGAGATAACTCTTTTTCGTCATCCCTAATGTGGGAAACACATAGATCAGTAGGAAAAATAAAATCTGGTTAAAATGTTAAAAGTAACAGCAAACAAGACTATAATATATTCAGAATTTCCTTGTGGTGTTATAGTGTCTGTTTACACACAAATACCTACTATTCAATACAGGACCCCTTCTCTTGTCACACACAGCACATTACTCAGCTTCATGCTGCCACTTTTCCTTTCTAGTTCAGGATCTGTCTTCCCCCTTGTCCACTGAACTTCAGTCACCAGAATCCTGACCTTCATTCTCTCTCACCTCCTGTATTACAGTAGCTTCCTAACTGGCTTATCTTACTCCAACATAAAACACCAATAAGGTGAAACGTCTGCAGTATTAATGATGGTTCATCTTTACTCAAGTACCTTAGTGAACTCTTCACAAGTTTGTATCACCCAGCCTCCTGAAGTTCCTATTCTTGCCTCTCTGCCTTAGGGTTCGACCAGTCTTTCTAGCCTCATCTTTGTTTGTCTTTAGATGAATCTTAACCTTCAATTAAAATGGAACTTTTATTTGTGCTCATGCTGCTGCTTCTTTATTCAAGCTGTTTACTTAACTGGAAAATGTAGTCTCTGTTAACCTCACCTATTGACATACTGAATTCTCAAGCTCCCATCTCTAAATACACATTCTCCAAGAAGCTTTCCCAGGGTTATCCTCCCTCCCTTAAATTGTATCACTAATCTTCTGATTACATTATACTCTTCTCCTGGAGAGTTCATTTTTATATTCCTGATTGTATCTAAATCAGTTCTTTATACATAGAAATGCTGCATAAATATTTGGATTAGGTTATGTCATTTCCAAAATGCAAGCACAATGACCTTACATTTACTAGAGCAATGTGGTTAACAGTGTCTGGAAACTCCATCTGGAATGTTTTGATAGAGACTTGGTGATGGTTTCTGTGACTTTGCAGTGGCCTGTCAAGGACTTCTTAGCAGTAAAAAACAATGATGACCAAGAGAAACATAATACCAAGTATGCCTGGACTTCATTTGGTGTGACACCGAGGAGTTAAATACATTTGGTAATATAAAGAAAAATAGCTTGGTCGGAAATTATTTTCAAAATATTTGTGGTGAGACAAATTCTAAATCATTAAATATCTATGTCTGAACTTCAGTGCTAAGATCGAAATAATTGTGAATGTTGTATCTTGAGACAGGAAATTTTGCAGCAATGAGAATAGGCATGCATATAAAACTCTGATAATTTTACACGTGCTTATTCACTTATTATGTGTTTATTCAATTACTGGTTATTAGTTTAAATTTTACTCAAATCATCCTATCTGAATCTCTTGAATAATCAAAGTACTAGATTACGTTTCTTCACAACTTGACTTGAAATATAATTTCACATCTTACAATCACAGGTCCTTGATGTGAGAGTACCATCAACCATTCTTGTTGATACTGAATCATTGGCAAGAATGCAGCCCTCAATTTGGGTCTTCTTCTTATGCTGAAATATGGTATATTTTGTGATTAAATATTGATATCAGAATATGAGACACGCCAATGGGGAGGTCCCTGGGAATTGTCTATATATTTATCCGCATTGATTGTACTTTAACCTTCCGATAATCAGTTTTTAAAACTCTTTAATGAAAACTTTATCTTTAAAATATAATGCATCCAATGAATTGCCTAATTTCTCCTTACACTAACACTTTCATATTTAGTTAGATTTACTCTTGAAATTTGCCCTGTTCTTACTGAATTCTCAGTTAACCTAAGTTCTTTTATTTATTTTCTTCTCAGAAACTACTTGACATTTTAGGAATTGATTTCAACTGAGTCTATCTATGCAGTTCAAGAATAGATAAAATATTATCATGCAATTGTAAATCCAAGACAGTACAATCATGCCAGTCACAAGTTCCCTTCTCCATACTCACGTTCTCCATTCTAGAACCTGATCGCATATTTAGAGGATGACTGTATGTGAATTAGCACTTTTACAAATTGTTCTACTCCAATTATCCTTCCCTTCCTCCATATCCACTCTTTTTGGTCTATATTCGCGTTCAAAGCATTTAAAGCTGCCAGGAAACACAAGTGCCCATGATCCAATAAAATTAAGATACAATGTGTCTAGAGAAAGAGGATTTAAAAAAAACTATTTCTCAGAATGAAAAAACTAATACTTGCAAAAAGAGAGAAACAGAGATTAGACTGCATTCCCCTTGAAAGTAAGCCCTACTTGATTTCTTGTAAAAATAATCTAGCTATATTTTCACTTTTACAATCTCATTTTTAGAAATAATATTTGTACACTTCCCTTTTTGATCTGCATATTCAGATAGGACTGCTCAGACACCACTGGCTTTGAAAACAAAGCACTTGTTTTAATGGTATATACAATGGCTGTATAGAGAAAAGCATCTGTCATATTTTTATCAATTTTATTTCCACTTATAAATACTGTCAACATTTAAAGCCCAGTTAATGGAACACTAGTGAGACAGTCAAAGCTATTTATATTAAGCATTTTTAAGTATTTTTAAATATGGTCATGCTCAGATAGACTTGAAAGAATCCCAGAATTAAAATTGCCCCCATTATAATGAGCCGGCTATAGATTAGAGAATGTAAATAGCCATGATATTTTAGTGAAATGATTTATTCTTCACTGGTACTTCATTTTCCATTTACCTTTAGATTGATGTTTACTTTTAACATTTTTCTATTGAGTTATAGTCATTTTACAACGTTGTGTCAAATTCCAGTGTAGCGCACAATTTTTCAGTTATACATGAACATACATATATTCATTGAGATTGATGTTTACTTTAAGAATATCCATCAATACTCAGTGTTATAGAAATGAATGCATGAGCAATTTGTAAGTGAATATATACATGGCCAAAGTTTAATTTGGCTCTCCATTCAAAAAAAGCAGTGTCGGTGGATATTTGGGCATTATCATTTATCATGATTACTTTTTTTCTGAGGTTTTTAGCAAAGTGAAAAAATTCAGATGTAGGTGGTGGATAGACAGTAAAATGTATTTAGATTTAAAAGAACACTATGTATTCTAAAAATGTAAGTATAACCATGCCAGAGCCTAGTCAGGTATTCACTGACCACGTGGGGAAGTGTGCTAAAAACGAGTGACAGGTGCACAGGTGATAGCTTCCTCCACATGCCATGAGCTAGGCCTTGATCATAAAACGCTTCATCCTGATAGTTGCTCTTGGCAAATGGAAATAATTTTTAAAGGCTATCTCCAAGATCATTCTGGTAACTTTTCAGATAATTAGGTGATGGTGAATGACTAGAGAGTTCTTACCCATAGTTGATAGGCCAAACTAGTTACAGGAATAGAATAATTAAAGCCTAAGTTTGCCTTTCCTGACAACAAAACAGACATTTGGGAAACATTAACCAATAGGCTTTAAATGGCAGTAGGACTAAGAATCGAGAGCGCTCTCACACGCGGGATTGTTCGAGGTGCCTCCAGCAGAACTCCACCTTTAACGTGATTTTTGTGCCTGCTCCCATTTTCTAAAGAAGAGACGATCGTAATGACCATGATTTTGGGGCCTGCTTTATTTTCTAGAGAAGAGAATATCATTACAATTTATAAAAAAGTAGCAACACTGAACAGGTCCGAATTTAGGAGCTAGGAAAGGTGATGTACAACACAGGTCTAAAACTGTGTTCCAGAACACTTCTGGTCTCAAAAAATGTTACTAGTATGCATGTAAGACCATATCCTCAACATGAATTTCAACTCAGTTTGCTAGATACAAATTCTTTAGCCACAATGAGTAAATACAAACTCTGTTCCTCTATGTTTTTTTGTCAGTTTAAGGAATGTAACACTTTTGTAGAGGATTAAAAAAACCAATTATTTCTGCATTTACTTTCAGTGTTGGTAGATCTAAACATTTCAGTTTTCATCTCTTCATTCTTCATAAATACTATGAGGCAGAGAATAAAATGGTTAAATGTAACATCCTTTCTTACTTTTTTATCTTGTATTTAAAATAAACGAGTTTGATGATCTCCATTCAGGTTTGAGAATCACCAAATCTGTAACCAGTTCTATTTAATATTTTAGCAGAAAATAAACTGGATTAAAGATGAGGTAAAAACTGACCTTTTCTTCTTTAATTAATAAACAATTTAGAAATAAATTAATTTCTTCTTGGGAGTAAGACTTCTTAGAAATCAATAAAAGGAAATTGTGGCTTTATATTTTCAACTAGCTCTATTCCAAACAGAGCACACAAATAAAAAGGAAAAAAAAAATCAAATTAGCAATATTTTCTAGGCAAAAAATTATTACATAAATATTACACATTAGAGTAGGCTACCATTACAAACAAATGACAGATTATATTTAAATAATAAAATGTGTATTAAAATTAATTCGTCTTTGAAATATGAATCACAGAACTTATAAATTCAAAAGCCTAATATGTGCAAAAATAAAGAAAATTAAAGTACAAATATATAATACTATTTTAATATACTGGATTTTCCAACTAATCCATCTTACATAAATTTAAGTAAATTAATCTGAAAGCTGTTACTTTATTTACCTATGAAAGCCTTAAAATAGTTAAAATAACTTCATATTTTAACCACTGGTTTCTCTGCATTTTGAATTTAAACTTCATGTTATTGAAGTCCAGCAGACTACACTGGCTTTAGTCAGACATACGATTGTTGCCTAGTGAGTAGAATTTATAAGTAAAGATAACCAACCCAGTAAACCAGATTAAACAGGGCAAAAGCCGTTGGGAAAAATATTCGAGAATAGGAATCGATTTTGGCAATGCGAATGTGTATCCTTCCTTCCCTCCATGAGCCCGTTCTGCAGTCTTCAAAGCAACAGAAGAAACTGGCACAATCTTTGCCCTCCAGACACTGATACCCATAATCATCCTCCCCTTGGGGCAGAGCAATGCTATTCATTGGAATCAGAGTAGATCCAGGATGGAGTCCAGATGACATCTGAGTAAAACAATGAATGAGTTTTGAGGAAAAAACAAATCCAGCATTAAAAAAGATCAACTTGTCCCCTCAAGGCAAACTCTAAAAGACTGATAAGAAATAAAAATAATCTTATTTTCTCCAAATATTCAAAACAAATATCAAACAAATCAGACAAATATTCAGTCCTAACATGGTTTTAAACCATGATTTACTTTGTATCACATAACATTATTTTACATTACAAAGATTTTGCAGGAAAAAAACACTCAGAAAGGAAACATATTTTATACATTTAGAAAGTTGATCTATTAAAATATAGTTAACCATGAATCCTATTTTAAAATGAGAATAAACTATATATTTTTATGATATTTTACAGTGTAACATTTACAGTGCTCTAAATATCTGTTGGTTTGCTATGGTTACATTCTGCACTTTATTTTAGTAATAGCAAGGATAGATAGTAAAGATGATATTTTGATAAAGCTGAACACTTTGAGAAGCTGTGAATGAATCAAAATGATATGAGGTTTGCAGTCGTGGATAAGGGCAAGGCCACGTATTTGGGAGAAAGAATGTGCAGGAGTTAAAAACTCAAATTTGGGAACAACTGGTGTTCACAATTCTGCTCATTCTACCAATGTAGTTGTCTTCATAGCTGAAATGATTTTAGCACCTGATTTTTGTGATGGTTGTGATGAGTAAGTTTCATAACATGTAAAATGATCAGTGCTATGTCTTGCCCAGTAATAATAGCTATTGTTACTATCAGAATTATTTGGGACTCATGTCAAATTAAGTCTTTATGGTACTAGGTTTTAAATAAAACTTAAATAATAAGAATAATTTTTATAAAATTGAATATAAATATAAAATATAAAAAATAAAATATAAAAATTGAAGCATGGCCAGGATACTGTGGAATATTAAAGCCATCATTTTGGAGTCTGGATATGTTGGACTATTAAAGCCATCACTTAGGCTGTAATTTATATAAAAATATAAAAATTGAAGCATGGCCAGGATACTGTGGAATATTAAAGCCATCATTTTGGAGTCTGGATATGTTGGACTATTAAAGCCATCACTTAGGCTGTAATTCCAGCTCTGCCCAGTAGAGTCCTGCAACTTTGAACAGGAAGTCACTGCTCTTTTGCTGTACCATATACACAGACTGTTTGATGATTAAATGAGATGATATACATAAAGCACCAAGCAAAATATTTGAAACATAGCACGTATTTAGCTGCCAATCAATAGCATTTATTGTTGTTGTAATTGCCGCTGCTACTATTGATTCCTGAAGAGGATATATCAAAATTGGCTATAAAATATGTGCTAAAGCAAACAATAATAACAACAACAGAAACTTGGACCTTATGAAAATGTTACTGGAAAGAAATACATTAATGAACACATGAATAAAATGGCAAGTAAAATATGAATGAAGATTGCCATTTTAGTAACTCTTCATCTCTTAGGACTTCCAGGTATTTCAGGGGTTACTTTAAGATGTGAATCTCACAATTTATAAATAAGTCAGTGGTTTTATGATCTAAACACTGAATACAATGCTGAAATTAAAACAATAGTTTTAACCTGACCTTAAATTCTAATGAAAATGTTTATGAAATTTTTTCATGTTAAATTTTGAAATAAATACATCTCAAAGCCATGAAAATTAAACATTGTATGAGAAAGAGCTAGAAAATTAAACACACAAAAATGAGAATTTCTCAAAATTTGGACCTATATTTAAACCCATTTTATTTGTAAGAAATACAAAATCTAAACCACTAAATATTAAACCTTAAGTAGATAGAAAAAGAAGCAAAAAAATCACAGTGATATTTTAAAAAGCTAAATGCATCATACAAGTTGTAATATCCATATTAGAAACAAAATATGCAGCATGAAGATAAGAAGCAATGCCTTAAACACAAATAAATTCATGACTCCCCTTGCCTGGATGTAGCATTTTAAAAAAAAAAAAAACAGAGGCAGTATATTATTAAATGTTAATAACATCTTTTGAGGTTCATACTTGGGGATACTTGACTAGACTCCTAATTTTAGTGGAGCACTAAAATTATGTACAGAAATGAGACAAATTGGTATTCATTTTCTTGTCACTTACTATGTTTATAACCTATGTTTTAATGTTAATCGGAGTGAAACTGGTTAAAATACCAGTTTGTTAGTTGGTAATTTCAAGATGATAAGGCATAAAATCCATTCCATATATCACTCAGAACTGCCTTATATAAGTGGAAAGATGGTTATTTGATGGAAGAGAGCAATTGTACATAAGAGAGATAACTAAAGATTAAAGTGCACAAAAATGGAAAAAATCTGCAAGTGGACATTTAAAAAATGGACTAATCTCTGGTGCTTAAAATCATGGAGAGTGTCTACTGCAGTGACCCTTTAGATTGATGCTTTTCTAGTTTCCTGCTGCTTCCTCCAAAACACCACAAATTCATAAATTCAAAGAACCTACGCTTCATTGAATGATGAATATGACTAAAAATCAATTTTATGTGCTAAGAAAAATAGCCAAAGAGCTGACACATTACCAGTAAAATAGTTTTGATACATAGATTTGTGACCTGGAAACCACTGACAAATTGATTGGAAGACTGTACACATTGCAAACCTCACTTTTCTGAAGTACAACTATATAACCCACCTTATAATTTCTCAGATAAAGATCCTGCTGCCCCCAAAATAGCAAACATTGTATAAATAAAATAAATCTGTTTAAATGATAAAAAAGAAACAGCACAATGGAATAGAATTTTCTTTTACTTCAAATGATGTAGTTCTGAGAATAGTTCTGAGAATATGCCATTTTTTTTGTTATTTCAAAAAGTCACTAAACATATAGCTGAACTTAACATTTTGAGACATCAATCCCATTTCCCCTATTAAAGATATGTATGTGTCTGGTTATAGCTTAAATATTCTACTACTTATAGATTAATCATATAGTTAAGCACATAAAATATATTCTAAATGCCAAGACATACTAATATCAAATAAATAGTAAATAAAACATTTATGTACAAAGTATATTTATGTATGCATTTATAGAATACTATAATTACTATTTAGATTATATACTGATACCATTAATAATGTATTATGTGTTAGCAATATGATTAGCAAACACTATTAGGCCATGTTATTGATACTATGAAATACTAACATTATTATTTTAAATTTATAATTTAAAATGTTGCACATGAGAATGCCACACTAAGCATAGGTGTTCTCCACTTCACTTTCACAAAATCCTAGTCAAGTATCAGTCAGGATTTCAAAAATTACAAAATCCACATCAGTGTTAAAAACAGATATGAGGTGGATTTGGGTGATGCTGAGGTCTCAGTTTTTGTATTTCAGAAATTAGAAGTTAATGGAAATAATTATCAGAGGAAAGTAAAAAAAAAAAAAAGTAAAAGAAAAAGAAAAGAAAAAAGAAGGAAAGAAAAGAAAAGAAATACAACTAATTCTGAGGGTTGGGACCAAAGTTGTGGAGCAGAGAATTTTATTCTTCACTTGTACATTTATATATTGTGTAATTTAATTTGTTTCAACAACGCACAAGTAACTTTCTTGATGTATTTCACATTTCACCAATATCTAATAATCCTTCCTGGGAGCTTTGCCAAATAACATTACAGGAAAGAAAGTTTATAATTTGTGAAATTTTGTATTGATGCAGCTTTTCATTATTTTTGTGCTCTGAAAGGTATAAGAATGTTTATTCATATACATATGCACTGACTGAAAATAAGATCTTTCCTTTGTGGAGAAAGTGCTATGGGTTCGGGATTGTGGGCAAAAACAAAAAACAAACAAAAACAATAACAAAAATCCTTCTATACATTATCTCCATTCTGATACCTTAGTTCAACTCTCAGTAATATATTGCTTCTTGAGCTATTGCAATAGTCTTTAAGTTTATCTCACTGATTATTTTGTCATTCAGGTATGTACTCTATACTACCAATAACTGTCTTTCAAAAACAGATACAAATATGCCATCTTGCTTAAAAACATGCATGACTTAACAGTGCTGATAGGGCCAAATCTAAATTTCTTGACGTGACTCAGGAGACTCTCCATATCTTGGCCATAAACCACTTTTCTACCCTCAACCTGGATTATTTTCTTTCCTAATATTTCTATTTGCTAAACCAGCACTATCCAATAGAAGTTTCTGCAATGATAGAAATACTCTGTATCAGTATTGCCCACTAGTTACAGGTAGCACTTGAAATGTGACTAATGCTACTGAAGTACTGAATTTTAAATTTTGCTTTATTTTAATTAATTTAAATCAGCCTAGCCATGTGGCTAGTGGCTAGCTGTTGTATTAGACCAGCAGCTTGTGAAAAATACCAATCTACTTTTTATTCTCATACGTGAAGTCGCCTCGACTTGGCTCACCTGGTTTCTTCTGTCTTACTCTTTCTAATCTCTTCTCCTGAAAACTGCAACTTATTCTCCAAAGAACTAGTGCAACATTGTCACACTTTCTCTGTAATTTTCTCTATCACATTACTTTTGGAAGATTTAGTTTACATACATTTTGAATATGTTATTTACACCTGAAATGGAAGAAGGCTACCTGCTCCACTGTGGCTTATGTTTACAGAGCCTCTTCTCAACGTGATGTGCTTGCTAATAAGTCAGTGTATCACAGGCCATGTTACATGATGTCTCCAAATTTCCTCAGTGCAAAGGATAGGCCACTTAGGTCAGCCCTGTCGTACCTGTCTCTCATTCAATAAGAACATCTTTTAAAATATTTTTAACTTATATCATAGAAAATATTCTGTGACTGAAGAAGTATTTGAAACCAGTTACCTAATTGCTAATATCCTTTGTTTACTTTTGATTTTTATATTGAACTGTTATTTGTCTTATACTTTATTATCTTATGTTTACATTTCTAACGTGTTTTTCTACAATTAGATTTAAAGATCCCTGAATGCAGAGAACACATTCTATTGTTACTCTCTTCAAAGTGTCTTATCCAAGGTTAGTGAAATAAACTTCTGTTGCTTAATATTCTAACCAATTGAGAGATAACAAATAAGCAAATTCTATCCTCAAATGGGTATATCAGGTCCCTCATATAGATATAACATGGTTTTCTGAGATTTCTTATTTATGGGCTGAATATTTGTGTTTCAACGTGAAATACCCTTTTTAGTTGGCTGGTTTCCTGCTATTGCTTTTCTGTGATCTTTACCTGTTTAATAAAGGATCTTGATTCTATACTTCAACATAGTTAACTTACTAGATTTTCTTGAAAATAAGTTATTGACACAAAAACATCTGAATCATATTCTCAGTGAGTAGAAATAAAAACAAAACAAAATGTTTTGGATGGTAATATGGGCCAAGTTAAAATGTTACTGACATTCACAATAATAAAAATAAAGAAGAAAGAAAGAAATACGGACATAAGAGAAGGGCAGAAGGAAGAAAGGAAGAATGAAAGGAAGGAGGAAGGAGGGAAGGGGGAAGAAGGAAAGTAGGAGGGAAGGGAAGGGGAGAAAAAAGGAGAGTGAGAGGGAGAAAGGGCAAGAAAGGGAAAGAGAGAGGAAAGGCCAAATGTGGAAAGTAAAGTAGAAAGCATCTGTATTAAGTTATGTTTTTCTTAGAGGGGTCATGGAAGCTAAAAATCTATTGTGTTCAAATATCATGTCTTCCTAAGTAAAATAAATTGGGATTTTCTGGGACTCTCAGCTAAGCTGTCAAAGAGATGTCAAGATGGGGATTTTAGTTTCATTTAATAACTGATATGCTGAACTTTCAGTGACTTTGAAAGCAAGTTCTTTGGTCCTGGCCTATTGTCATAAATAATTTGGTGAAGCAAAGGGAAACGTTGGATTTCAAATCATTCAGAATTTTAAGCCTGAAAAGTAAAGTGGGGAGATGGAAGGAGAAAGAGAGCGAGAGAAAGAGAAAGGAAGGTAAACTCACAAACAATTGAAACAGGTATAAAGGCAAGATGCTGCAAGATTTCTGGGTCTAGACTTGCATTTGATTCTCCTGGGCAGAGCGGAAGAAAAAGACAGATCCTACGAAGCCCTTAAATGGAACATTTTGAGACAACAGCAAGCAGAGTTGTCTATTCTTCATAAAAGTGTGTTCTGATTTACCTGATTAGCAAGACCATATGGCTGCACACTGAGCTAGGCAGGGAGTCAGATCTGATTACTGATCTAGTTTTTCACTCCAAGTGTCATTTAGTACTGAAGGAGCTCATGAAGCATATAACTGAATAGAAAGAACAGACTACAGAATTTTATTTTGGATGGCTCTAAATAAAATATATATTTTTTGTACCCAGGTAGTCAATTACATGTCAGTTTAACTTTTTGATATTTTGCAGTTTAGTGCTTCAAAGCACTTATTTAATTTTTTATTCCTTAATTTTTCGTCTTTAGTATTTTGCTTCCTGGGCTTGATGCTAAAATTTAAATACTCAATATACAGATGTTTTTCTTGGATAACTATTCTAGAACAATATCTAGAACATGAGTATCTTTAACTAGTATTTGATAAACAAATGATTAAATGAACATCATAATTTTAAAGTTTGCACTCCAATGTTTCTGCTTCCTGAGTAAATGAGATGTCTGGTAATGTGGTTGAGAGACAGATCTGGAGTCAAAATGATTATCTGCAGTCCTACAATAGCCACTTATTGGTTGAATGGACTTAGATAATATTAGTACCCCTATTACATATTCTTAGAATGAAATTCGAGAATCCATGTGAGATTGTACATTGCCTGGCTTATAATGTTAATTAGTATTATTCTAAATACTTTCATTCACAGTTTCCCAAAATAAAAAGTCAAGGTAGCAATTGAACAGAGCTGTGGATGAGGAAATGATGAAGTGGAAAATCCAGAGAGGATGCCTGGCTTTGATTAACGGAAGACAGTATAGCAAATGTCTGTTTTTCTTTAACTAAAAATTAAGCAAATGGATATTAAGGTTGAAATTGTTGCCCCCTGATGCTTTGTTCATTCAGAGGCCATAGCATGTCCTGTAGATAAGCTAAAATCATGTGATGCTGAGAGAGTCACAGACTGATTCTACAATGTATGTTCTCAAATGCCTATCACCAACAGTGTGCTCTTTCTTAGTATATTGTGGGACTCTGAAAACAAATTGCAAGTCCTTGGAGTATAACATAAAAAGTAAAATATAATTTTAAAATATGGCAAAGTTTTATAAATAAACTAATGAGAAATGGGAAAAGGTAGAAAAAACATTGATTCCTAGAACTTACAAAGTTAGAACATGGAAATCTCCAAGCTTCATTATATACACACCATGGTAGGCTTACAAGCTTGCACCCATGCGTAACTGCTTTATACAGTTTTCATGTTTAAAGACATTTTGGAACAAATTTTCTTTGAAAACATTTACTGGAATCAGCAATGAAGTGTCTTTTTTGTCAATTCTGGAGAAACAGATGTTTATTTTTCTGAGTCTTATGAGAACAGGCAACATAAGGAAGGATTACAAACTTGAACTCTGGCACTAAAAAAGATCTGAGTTTGAGTCTTGGGTCCTTCACTTCCTAATGCTGTCCTTGTGCAAATTACTGAAATTGTATCTACAAGCATAAATTAAATCATGCATGTAAATGCTTAGAGGAGTTTCTGGCATGCCCAGTAAGTGTTATATATTACTTTAAGTTTCTTATAATTGCCATTATAAAAAGAATTATGGTTAATTATCCAATATTAAAGTATTTTAGAACCAGTAGAATTAATTCTAATTTATCAACTTGATAAGTTAAGGTAGGTATATGCTTGGGAAAGGGGAGTAAGAGAATAGAAATATACAAAAGCCAAAAAGATGTCTTTTCTATGACACAGAAAGCTATGTCTCTCAAACACAGCTGAACACTAACACTAAAGAGGGATCTTTATTTCTAAAAATTTAGCTAAATTTGTGGGGCACCCCTGTTAGAAATCCAAATCCTAACACAAAAATAGATTCAAAGGGGGATTTAAAATAATTTTTCAGATACAAAGAATTTACCACTTAGGGAAAATTTCATAGTGTGAGAAACCACTCTTCATAAAGGTGATCCAAGACTCTTTTCTAGGGAAAAATGTAAGTAAACTTTTGTAGGTGGGCAATGTTCAGTACCCGAGTTTGATCTTAATATGATTTATGTTTTGTCAGGGTACCTCAAGCATCTATATCAGTCTAAAAAAGTATAACATGAGAACTCAAAAGAGTATCTCTTACAGTAATAAAAGAGAGGATTTTTTTTTTAACATACCGTGGCCTTATTTTTTAGCTTTCTTTCTCTAGTAGTTTTTCCTTTTTTGTTGCTGGTAAAATAATGCAAGGTGCCATATTCCATCAAAGCTGCAAAAACAAAAATGAAACAAACAGAAACAAAGAGATCCATCGCAGTCACATAGGAAACCTTGGGTAAGGACTTCCTGGCAATTGTGCTCAGCGTAGTCATAGTCAGCACTGTAGTGATACCTGTGGAAGGAGGGGAAGGGACACAGATGATGAAAAATAACATAGACTGTTTTTACCCTTCCAGCTGGCTTGGCAATATTGTGAGTGGAAATAAACAATGGAAACAAAAGAATGTGATTACCTGTGATTTACAGAAAAAAAATTCTGGTAACCATAGTGACATTGTGTTCAACGTGTTCTTTGCATCTGTGAGTTTTAATCATCTAAATTCTTTGGACTGCAAATAGTTGACACCCCATACCCACCCTTCCCTTCCTCCATAATAATACACCATCCAATTTTCAGCTGGTCTGTGCCTGCCTGGAAGAACAACTATAATTGCCAGCTGCTTTCAGCTATATGTGGCCACAGACTGAGATCTCACCAAGAAGAATAGGCAAAGGGTATTAATGACCAAAAGATGCCATTAAAGAGACAGGCAATACCTTTCTTTCCTTCTTCATTGTTTCTGCTGGAATACAATGGCCAGAGCATCAGAACCCATCCTAGACCTCTACCTAGTTTAATCTACAGTGATTTTAGGTTTCCTGCCACACAGTTAAAATTAATCCAAACTAGTATAGTATGTTTTATAACTTGAAGTAAATCTATTTTCTAGTCTTGAAGTTTCAGTAAAGAAAACAGGCAAAATGGTATCAAGGGAATACTTTTGAAGCACAGATTAAAACTTCATATTTTGAAGGATTGAATGTATAAAATTGGGATAGCCTCCTGGACCCCAGGTGTGTTGTGTAGATTTTTGGGGGTGTCTGTTTCTCTTTATCCATGACCTTCTTGATGGTTCTTACCTAAGGGAGGTGGAGGCTAAATTTTAGGCCCCCTAACTCACAGCTGTCCAGACTATATCTCTTCCTATCTAAACTGCCTTCATTCTCATTCTTTCTCTCATGAAATAAGACACCATGAGTGGAATTGTTTACTCTCATAATGCCAAATGATTCTTAATTTGGCTGAATATTTATAGAGCCAAATATTCGGGTTGAGAAAAAAATAGAAAGGATGTCTTTGGTATGGTGAAGGCAATAGCCATCTCTTTCCCTCATGTCTACATTGAAACATGCCTTAATAATAATTCCTTTCACATTTCCATCTTTTTATTTTCATCATCACTCAGGATTGAAAAAAAAGATGATACAGGTATGATGATTTGGAAGTCATGTAGGCAAATTTAGATTCAAATTTTGATGTCCAATCTATTAGCTCCATAACCTCAAGGAGGTTTCTCAACTCTTCTGTGCCTCTCATCTAAAAAAATGTGGCACAGTAATTTAATAAATTGTATAATAAATTTATACAAAAGGTATTTGCTTTACTTATTTTTCTTAAAGTGGATGCTTAGATTAAAAAGAAAGATTAAAAATCTTCTTTCTAACATTAGCATTTTGAATCTATAATTTCCCCTCTTAGGAATACTTTAGCTGCCTCTCACAAACATTTAATGTTAAATTCTTATTAAAATTCAGTTTGAAATATTTTATGATTTCCCTTTTGATTCTATTTTGACCAAAGGGTTATCTAAAAGGTCATTAAACAAATTTCAAATAAGGGAAGCCATTATTAATCTATATTATTTTTATTAATTTTTAATTTACTACCATTTTGGTCAGAAAATACACTTGGGAAACATTTTAGTCTTTTCAATTTTATTAAGATCTTGGTTAATGTTCTATATGCACTTGAACTTACTGTGTATTCTGTAGTTAGGTGTATTGTTTTATAAATACCAATCAGGTCAAGTAGTTGTAATTTCATTCAGATTTTCTGTATCTTTTTTTTAATCTTCTATTACTTCATTTTTTAAAAATTTATTTTATTGAATTATAGTCAGTTTACAATGTTGTGTCAATTTCCAATGTAGAACATGCACTATTTTTTTTTTGGTAACTTATTAAATCATAACATTCCCATAGTCAGACAAAGGCAGATTTCCCAAGGTGTTCTTGGCTTCTCAAGTAAACAAAACAAAACATCCAAAAACCTTCAGGCCACTGTGTTCTTTGATATCATTATCAATGATCAAATTAAATTTCAATTAACTAAAATGTTATTACATTCCTATTTCAGAAATTAAGGTAAACTACAGCAGAACTTAGCTCCCAGACATTTATTTCTTTAATTTAGTAGTTGTTATCACAGAAGTTAGCTTAAAATAATGTAGTGGATTTTCTGTTAAAATATCTCTGAGTCCATGAAAGTAAGAACACATTTAAATATTAAGAAGATTCATTGATATTTCTTCCATGGCTTCCCCTGCTCAAAACCTTACAGTAACCTTCCATTACCTTCCATTACCTTTGGAATAAAATCCAAAGTCCTTAAAATGACCCACTAGTAAGACATCTGATCTAACATCTGGCCATCTCTCCAATCTCATTTTCTACCACTACTTGGCTACTTCTAGACACAGTTGTCTTCTTTCTGAACCTCAAGCATGGTTAGCAAAGAAGATCCCTCTTCAGAACCTTGTGGTTCCTTCTAGCGGATATCCACAGGCTACCTCCCACACTTCGCTAGGCCTCTGCCCACTCCTCAGAGAGGTCTAGTCTGACTCCATGAGATGAACGAGCGAACAGTATATCCACCCACACCCCCTGGCGTTCTCTAGCCATTTATTTTGCTTTCCCTCCTAGCCTTTATTACTTACTGACATTTTATTATATGCTTTTTATATTTGTACATTACCTGCACACCCTGCTCAAACGTTTTATATTTTAAAATGGACATGAGCACTTTACCATATTTGTTCACTGTTCACACTGCGGCACCTAGAACACTGCCTGTTTCACAGAAAGCATTTGATGAATGTTTGTGAGAATGCGATAATAATAATTGAATAAATGAGCTCAGAAAACTGCCCTTCAGAGACGTATGTATGCATGTATACTTAAAAAAAAACAAACAAAGCCTGATCCTCCAGCCACTTAGGACCCACAATTGTAAGAGATAGTCCTTAAGTTAGATCTGGCTATGGCTTATCTTTACAGTTGCTATAGCAATGTTAAAAAACATGGATTCATGTAGAGCCATAATTCCACAATTGGCT